GCAAATTTCTTCAGGGTCAGTGTTATCAACAAGTTCCAAAAGAATGGCAACCCATTTCTGAATAGTTGGTGTAGCAAAGTTAGAACATGCTGACAACACACTGACCATGGTATCATTTTCTGGATGTATATTTTGCTCAATCATCACCCGGAAAAGATTCAAAACGTCTTCACTCTTACCCGATTCAGCATAACCTTTGGCCAACGAAGTCCAACAGCTAACCACTGTTATGTCAGGAATTTCATCAAACACTTTAAGTGCAGAGACCAAATCATGAAACCCTTTGGCGTAGACTGAGACCAATCCATTACTAACAAATAAATTATTAAGCAAACCCATCTTCTGAATTTGAGAATGAACTTGCTCAACGATACGGGCATCTGCGGACGAGAAGCATGCCTTGAGGAGGAAAGAAAAGGTGAAATCATTAGGCAAAAGAGATCGTCGTTTGAGATTCTTGAACGCAGAGAATGCGTGAGAGGATTGACCCTCATCAGCGAGGACTCTGATAATGGCATTGAAAGGGAAGATGTTAGGATTCTGAAGTTGATGAAAAATCCGGAGAGATACATAAGATGGGTAACGACCAATGAGACGCGTAGCGACCCAATCGTTTGATGGGCTCCTAGTTGATAGATGCGAGCATGAACTTGAAGAAGATGAAATCGAGAAATGGGGCCTCTCAAGAGGGCAAAGATGTTTATAAAGCTTGGGCATTCTGGACGGGAATGAAGAAGCCGAGCAACAGAGAAATGAACCTGGAATTTTTGGACAAGATCACGTCGGGAAGGTAAAAGCATGTTGGGTGATTCAGAAGCGCAGACTTTGACTTTAGAGTCTTCATAAACGTTGTGCAAAATGCAAATGATTGATGAACTCTTTGACGCACCACATTCTTAGTGAAAAATCACGGTTGCGATCTATGTACTATAGTTGCATTGCAGAGTAAGAAACTCCAAACTTCTCTCTAACCCTCTCTAACCATTCCATTGATTTTCCTCAACTTCCCAATTTTTAGATGAGTAAAATTTTATTACCTCTATGTTTAATCCAAGAGCTAAATTTTTTGTCCAAAAAAAAAGCTAAATAATGAATTTGGAGAGATTAGAAAAATTAGTTAAATTGGTTAATTGTTATAAATATGTGTTGATATTATCTTCTTTCAATAATATGTATGGATGATTAGAATTATTCTTGATGCGAACTCTTTATAATCAATAGAGATATTTTTAAAAAAAAGAAAAAAAGTAATTGAGGTCATTAAATTAAATTTTCAAATAGCTCTTATATTAAGAATAATAATATATTATGAATAAAAAATGGTTCAACTCCAAAATTGACGATGTTTTTTTTTAATTTAAAAATAAATTCTTTGAAAAACCATTAAAAAAATAATTTTTAACATATTAAAACTTTTCTTATTTTGTATAGAATCTTATGAAAAAAAGAAGTAGGAAAAAATTGAGCGGCACCCCAAATCTCACCTAAGTTCTAGCATCTGCCTTGCCTTCTCTTTGATTTCCTATGGCAATCCTTAACCTGCTTCAATGACTTCACCAGTTATGTAATTATATTAATTATTTAGGGTACTTTGATTATGTTATAAAATTCTCAGTCTGATTAAATTCTAATCTTATCTTTGTTTTCAAAATAAGTATATAAACTTCTAAATTTAATAAAATAACATTAGCTGTTCACAACCGTTAAACTTTATATTAAGGAAAAAGTAAAAAAAATCTTCAAAATAAAAAATTACAAATAGGAACCGTTACAACAACATTAGTATGAGTTTTGAGAATAATTTTGTGAACGGATTCTCGTGTACAATTTTTTAATTTCAGGTTTTTTTTTTGCAATTTTTCCTTATATATTAATGATTATGCAAAATAAAAAAATGTGATTGCTTATGTTTTTACGTTATTAATTTGATGAAACAAGTGAAAGCAAAAAGACTAGGATGGCATTGGAATCATCACCCAAAAAAAGAACCAAATAAAAATAAATAAATAACTTAAAAGGTAAGATGGTAAATATAATTTTTTAAATAATTTTGAATCCGCTTTTAAAATTATAATGTTTATCAAAACAAAATTAAAAGATAAATCATGATTGTCAGAAAATTGAAACGTATATCTCTTTTTAAATATATATAAATACTAAATTAAACAAAAAGTGATATAAATAGATTGATGATAACTCAACTTTTAAAAGTATAAATTCCTGTAATGGACAAAATTACTTACGCGATAAAATTTTTGCTCCAAGCTTGTTGCGCATCATGCTTAAACAAAGTTATCTGATAACATTCGTGATGCTGATTGCTTTAATTTATTTAATTTTAAAATGTTTATTATATTTATATAATTTATATGATTATATAATTTTTAGTCTATCTGATAGATTGATCTTTATGTATCCAAATTTATTTAATCTGAGTCCATCTTTTATATAAAACGCTAGCTCTCAGCTAAAGTTTTCGTCGGCTGAGATTGGGGAGAAGAAGGAACAGCATCTTCATTCATTGTTTGGTCGTTCATCAGGCAATCTTTCTTTCTTTCTTTAAATTTTTATTGTTCCCGGAATATATTCTACTGAATGAAAATCCTGTTGAGACTAGTAGTTTAGTACTAGTAATCCTTTCAACTGACCAAAAAAAAACCTTCAATGTACCCACATACGCAAACGTAGGTCTCGTGGTTATTAGGAATTTAAAAATTTATTAATTCAAGAATCTATCATTCATTTACAATATTATTTATTATTTATAGTATTATGACTTTTAGTACGTGTTACGTAATTGCTAATTATGATGATATTTATCTTTTGTTTTGCTTCGTTTCGTTTTATTCCTTTATTTGATTTGTTTTTTAACAGTAAAGAGTTATGATTCTTGCTTTATTTTTGGATAATGTGTGTTTTAACTGCAGCATGGATCAGTCTACTCAATTTCTTCGGAATGGATATCCTTCTGATGATTTTCCTGCCGTCGAACTTATTCCAAATCCAGAAAACCCCCCCTTACGTGAACTGATCACGACCACGTTGGAAATCCTATGTCAGAAATAGATCGTTCTTCGTTGAACAGTCAACCTCGAAGTCAAATTTCTCTTAACAGCATAGAATTTGATGAAAATATCAATTTTGGACCCTTACATCCACTAGAGGCTCAACTACAAAACTTGAGAATTGATTCCGTAGGGGAAGGCTACTTCATGAAAATAGAACAAATCAGCAAACCCTAGCTGGAAACTCAAGGCCGATTGAACCAAGACATATTTATGATGGAGCTCTTTATAGGTATAATATTACAAATAAGCAAATCCTAGCTGCTGGAAACTTTGGGATTGGACCAAGTCATGATTATGCAAGATTGCTTCATGAAAATAATACAAACCAGCAAAATACCAACCAACAAACCCTAGTTGGAAACTTTGGGATTGGACCCCACCACCTTGTTTATGAAGGACTATCTCAATGTAACAATACAAACAATGAAACCCTAGTTATTGGGAACGCTAGGATTGGACCCAGCCCTGTTTATTATAATTCTCCTGTAGGAAGAATCTTGCAGAGATATAATGACATTACATCGCTTGAAGTTATGAGGGGACGTGTGGTTTCAATGTCGAAAGAGGAATATGGAAGTGAATTTCTGGTGAGATTGTTGGATGGGAAGAACCCTAGAGATATTAAATTCATTTTAATGGAGTTGTTGAATCACTTACATGATTTAATGATGGACCAGTTTGGGAAATGCGTCATTGAAAAGATTTTTGATGTACTCAATGAGGATCAAATAACCCTCCTTTTTGAATTGATCACTAAGGATCTTCCCAAATTTCAGATTGCCTGCAAAAACAATATAGGGTAAGGGTATGATATTATTTTTCTCTCAAACTATCTTTATTTTATTTCACGATTTATCATATGAAATCATCTCATATTATTCTTATTGTAAAACTTTTTACGTGTCTGATATAATTTATGCAGTCTCTTTATTCGGTATACTAGTGTAAGAAGTTACACTTTTGACATAAACTTTATATAATTTCAACACAAAAATCACTTAATTTGATATATTTTTTTTCCTGTTTTGGTTTTTTGTTTAATAGATTTTTTTTACTCGTTTTTTTTTTGGGTATAGATGCAGAGTTATACAAAGTATGATACATCATCTTACGACAGAAAGGCAATGGATTGTCTTTACATATGCTCTGAGGGAAATTGTTGTCCCAATAGCCACTTCCCATTATGGAAGTTATGTCCTTCAACATTTCTTAAAACTTTGTCATAGCCATCATTTTTCGAAGGTAATTAATTAATACAACTCTTCATTCCTTAATTTTCTTATTACACACTAATATATACTATTACAAAGTTATATGTTGATCATGACTTAATGAATAACCAATGTTTTTATTTTCAGGCTATTTTAGATGCAATGGCATCTGAATGCACTCTTGTTGCCACAAACAAAAGCGGTTGTTTTGTTCTTCAAAAATGTCTATCTATTTCTACGCTAGAACTTTCTTACTTGTTGATTTGTGCCGTTACTAATCGTGTCACAGTGCTAGCACCACATCAATACGGGTCAGTAAATAGAATCATTTACACAATTTTTTTTAAAAAATCATTCTTTAATAAAAATAAATAAATATTTATTATAAGCTAATTATGTTGTTATATATATATATATATCCACAGGAACTATGTGGTGCAGTATGTGATTAAGTTGAGGTTGGGTGAAGTAAATGAAGCAATAGTGAATCAACTTCGAGGTTGCTATGTTGACTTGTCTGTTAACAAGCAGGCTAGCAATGTGGTGGAAAATCTGTTGATATTCTCAACTCAGAAGAATGTTGATATTATAGTTCAAGAGATTATAAATAGCCCTAGCTTTTTGTACCTTCTTCAAGACCCATTCGGCAATTACGTTGCTCAGACAGCCTTGGAATGTTCTAAGGTTAGATTCTTCAACTTCATCTCTCTACCTACCTAAATGGTTTTTAGCTTTCGCTTAAATTATACTGCCTCGATTCTTCACATCTTTCCACAAAATATTCTTATTGCTTATAAGTGATGCCTAGAAAGGGGTAATTTTAATTATCTAATATTGAAGAGGATAGTTTAAGAAGACTAACACACAAATAACCAACTTAATTAATTTTCTTAATATCTCCAAATTCTTGACTAATTTTCTTAATATCACCAAATTAATTATCTAAATCTTATATTAAGAACTGGATGTAGTATTCTCGTGGTGATATTTAGTTATGTATAACTCTTATCTATAATACTATTCTAAATTACTACTTTTGGTCCTATTTATAAGATCTTGTTTGTAATCTATAAATAATGTCTTATAAATAGAACTAGAAGTAGTAACTTTTTATGTATGAATATACTAATAAATTTTGTATTTGGTTTTGCAGGGAGCTCTGTATGATGCATTGGTGAGCACAATTTCGAAACACTATAGAATTCTGTGTACTGATCAATATGGAAAAAGGGTGTTAGATTTTATGTGTGGAGGAGCCAAAAAATTTTATGCGCAATTTCGAAGACATTAGGAAAATGGATTTGGAATATAATTGTGCATTTGTAAAAATGTGCACCGTATGTAGATTATTAATGTACGGACCAATTTACTCGTGTCCCCCCCCCACCTTGTTAGTTTTAATGGAGATTAGATATGTTTCTTAGTTTGTATGTGTATGGTATTGCTGTATGTTAAGTTTTATAGATTCTTCTTTCGAGTTTTGGAACTCTTTGAAGTTTATATATAATAATTCTTAGAGCTTTGTTCTTGTTTCATTTACATCAATATATATGTAATCATTAATCTTCAATTAAACTCTAAAAATCTGTACAAAGGAAAATAATATTCAATAGTTATATGTGCAAAAATTTTAAATGAAAAATTTATTTATAAATTTCTAGGATTTAACCAATTAGTTCTCACAAAATGTAGAATGACTAATAAAATATAATATAGTTTAATTAGATTCAATTGGTCACGGCTCCTGACTGAGAAAATGTATAAATACACACACGATTTATCAACATATCCAACAATTTAATATAGCTTCACTTATTAATAATTAATACATTTAATTGAAATTCGTTTTTTATAGTCGAATATAAATATTTTGTACATTTTATTTAAACTATGTTTTTAAATCATCACTAAATCTGTTGACTTAGTCTGGACTACTCATCCTTCACCCATTTTGAGTTAGTCGAGCGAAGCTGCCTCTCAAAGATACAGAGGCTCCTGTACATATAGGATCATCTCTGTAATTAATTAAAAGGGTATTTGGATGAAAATTAAATTATAATTTTAAAAGTGATTTTATGATATACAAAATAAGTATGAATGTGAAAAAATTTTGTCTCGATTCATGTAAAAGTATTTTTTTGGGAAAACCAAACACCCCATCGTGTAAATTATAGGGAGTGTTCTTTAAGCTTCTAAAGTATAAGGATTCGATAATTGAAAATAATCTCCAAAACTTTTCAGTCACTGTTTCCGCTCAAAACTAAAGAGAAATGGCTAAGAAAATATTATGATCCTGGCTGATCATACAGCAAGCAAGGGTTTAGTAAACAATAAGGAACAACAAAACTGGTTGTTAACAAAATTTTGCCAACACCTTTCGCACTGAGCAATCTGAAAAAGATAGAACAATTCTAACTTGAAAAATGATGAGCTCTAATTGATACGAGCGTAAAATCTTAATTAGGCATTCCAAAGTAGCCTTTGTTTTCCAATTTCATCCCTGGAGACAAATATTTCTTAATACGTTTACAAATTTACCAAGATTCTTCCAACAATTTAAAAATACTCATGCAATGGACCATTAGATTTCAGGAAGAAATGTAATTGATGTCTAGAACAAAAGGAAAGGGTGTATATTGCACAACCAAGCAATCCACAGAAGAGTGGAAAAAAAAAAACGTATAGATCCTTATCACTTTATCAAGGTCTTCACAAGACCAGATTCTTGTACATTTATATGAACAGACAATAAAATTCTAAAAGATTTATTTTTGAGCACAAAGCTTTCTTCAGAAACGTTTGGTTTCAAGCTGGAAACCACGCTTTGATAGAATCAGCAAAACCAAGTGCTCAACAACAAAACCAAGTGCTATGACTAGAACTGCCGAATAGCTGCAACAACTTCAGTAATTCCTTCAAACTTTCTTCTCTCCTCGAGAATCATCTTGGCAAATAAGTCAAGTGCTCGACGTTCGCAGCTGGCTCGTTTGCTAGCATTACTAATGGACTCAAAATCTTCAACATGCATGTGCCACACCAACAATTCTCCTGCCAGTCAGATCATTAAAAGGATAACGTTAACCAGGCGATCTAAAACAACGACTTTCAAGTTTTTACACTATCATTTCACAGTAAGTACCAAGTTGTGCGTGATATAAGTGTTGATATGACATTTTTCCTTTCTATTTACAAAGCTAAAACAAGCCCAAATTATGCAAACATGGAAGTTATACATCATAAAAGTAAAAATAGGAACGTGTTTAGTGTCACCTTATCATTTTGGCTGAACCAAATCCAAGAGTGTCATGAAACAGATCTTCCGTGTATCTCTTTTGTGCAAGCAGCAGAACCTCAGCATTGTTACAAATTGACGAAAGATAGGCCTCACCAGGACCCTTTCTATGCCGTGCAAAAGTGCGATGAATCTATCATGAAAAAAATTCCAAGAGTCTTCACTTGTCTTAAGAAATCCACTCTTCATATGTCTGCATGAAATTCTGTGTTTAAATCCTTAATTTTCTCCTCTTCAGTGATTAATGCATGTAAAGTTTCATCATGTAATTTATCCCGTTATGGTGTGACAATAAATTGACTAAAAGAAAAATTCCACCCTAAACAAGATAACACAGTGGAAGAACATAAAAAAACCAGTCAAGGAACAAATCAACGCAAGTTTCGATTAAGTCATGCTGCTAGTGCCGGGTCTAAAAGAGTGTCAAGTTTCCCAGGAATGCTCCTATGTCAAAACCTATTGGTCCATGAAATGCAAATTCTGGATCAATAACTTGAGTTGATTCCTGAGTAACCATGACAAAACTAGTGTGTCGATCTCCATGGATTAGAGCGAGGGCCCTCTCACAGAACCTACAGGAATATAAATTCTAATTAGAGAAGAAACTAAAGCAATTTAACAGCTGCGTGTAATGGAAACTTTGCCCTAGTCATGATACTTGGATTTCAGCCCAGCAATTTCAAGCTTCAGCAGATCGACTGTTCTCGAACAGCCTCAGCATCATGATCGACGTAAGGAGCAGTCCAATGATTACATTGAGATAAGGGTCAGAGAAAACAGCTAGTGCAGTATGCCTACACATCTTCACATTCCCGCAAATTTGGCAACTGCATTGAGCCAATGTGTATTTAGGCTTATAAGAAATTTATCCAGTCTTAATGGTCCATCTATAGACACATATATCACCAATAACATATAAAAAAAAAACAATTATAATTACAATCTTATAATAACAAATGATTTTTTTTTTTCCGGACCAGTTTTCTCACGCAAACTATAAGCAAAAGTAAATTCTTTAGTAAGCACAAATGAGCAACGCACATACAACGGAGCAGTTAGACCCCGACTTGCAATATAAAATTAGCCTACATAACCACTATGACTCAATGAACTTTTAGGCGCAGTATCAGATATAACAGAATCAGAACCAAGTAATTTAGAGAAAACAGCTGCGAAGTTCTACAAGATAAAAGACCCACAAAAACACTATATTAGAATTTTGCAGCTTTTTTTTCCCATACCTAACCCCAAACGATGTTGTGTCCCAGTGACACGTACTAAAGGCATAGTGACAGCGTCAAGCAGTTTCAGAAGACAAAAGAATACCATGCATTACAATGGCAACACTAGCAAGGTTTACGCATGCTAGACAATCTAAATCCAAAGTTCAACTTAAAGTGAGATAAATGTAAAGCACGTGAAACAACAGATAAAGAAAAGTGGTGGAGGAAGATTACCATCTCTCTTGTGCTCAGTAGTGGTTTGAAAAAGGAGAGATGTAAAGAACAGTGTCTGGGCCATGTAATTAGCCGTGTGTTCTGCCAATAACGGGTACTCAATTCCAGCAATCAGATCTTTTCTTAGGATTATATGCGCAGGTTCTAGGTAACACGTGCCAATTAAAGACGTACCGTCAAAATGATAAACTTCAGAGACATGCTCGGGGCTTAAGCGGCCATGTTCTTTAAGTGCCAGAACCTCAAAATATGCTCTATCCTTCGACATAGGCCATGATTCTCCTATGCAACGAATATATGGAAGAGCCTACACGGTTGCAAAATTGGAGTAGCTTTACACTTTTTGGGATATTGTTTTCTTCCTCTTTGAGGAAAGCAATTATCATAACAAATAGTCCACCAAAAATTTGATCAACTATTGGAGCTAAGTGAAACTCTTACCTTTGACGACAATAGAACCGGCGGAGTTGACGATAACGTAGGCGAAGTTAAGGTAGCCATCTCCGACTTCCTTAACCAACAAGTCATCAAACTTATTCCCAATCTCCGTCAAAGCCATATTGGGCGTCGACGGTTACCGTTGATGCCGGCCATGATAGGCTATAGAGTTGGCAGAAGCAAGATTTTAAGGAGCGGGAAGCATATATCATGGTCTTTATTTATTTGTTCAAAAAAGTCAAATCGGGTGCAATGAACGGAATATACGTATTGTGAGAAGCTGGCGAAGCGGGTGTGTGTATGCGAATAGGTTCGGACCATGGTGGTGGAAAGCTGGAGATGGAATCTTTTTGGTTCTCTCGAAAACAGTAAAGGGTATGACATACCCCTGGTCCTTAATATAGGACTCAATTCTTGAGTTGGTTTTGGTCCTAAATGTGAGATTTTTTCTCATATTTATCAGTTTTCTCTAAATTATCCCTATGGATATTCCCTCAACTATAATCAAGTAGAAGAGGGAGAAGGAGTATTAAGAAAGATAATTATGGTATTTTAGGAAAAATGTGTCACTTTTCTTACAACTAACTAACTTACTTAACTTTTTTAATCTAATCAAATTAGTTAAATGAGTCTTATATTAAAAAGTGAAAGAGTATGTAAACAACATAAGTGCCGTGAGGAGACTCGCACTGAAGTATCTCATGAGACGGGAGGAATCTATTTATTGGAACCTCACACAGTGTATTATCAACAAACACAGGCAGGGCAAGGAGAAAGAGGAAAGTATTCTGGAAACATCTCACTCACAACATTAGCTCGAGACTGGAGTGTCAATGCGGAGCAGGACATTCAAGTGGACACGATACGACAGACGGAACGCAATAAACGACACCCGGCTATAAGGGGACTCTGACTCTGGATCTCTAACTCTAGGCCTATTCATATAATTGGGCCTCTCATATAAGCCCTTCAAACAATAAAAGCACGGCGAGGAAGAAAAGTTGGCATCATGCGTGAGGTGAGAGCTATCTTCCCTGTGAAAGGCAACGATTTGATAATTGTTTCCATTACTTAAACTGGCTATACTTTTCCATTTATTGGACA